TTGTTTCAACTTTCGCTTATTGTCTCTTGTCCTGCTACCATGCACTGCTACGAAGAGCCTGGCTCTGTCTACACAATGACCTGCTCGTAGGTGGGAACGGCTGCTCTGAGGTGCCCCCAATGCCTTCCCTTCTCCAGGCAGAAGCAGCTCCATCCCTCAAGCTCCCCTTGCAGGGCAGGTGCTCCAGCCCCTGAGCCTCTGCTGGGCTCACTTGTCATCAGTGCCACCTTTGTCTGCATTGTCCAAGGACTTGCATAACAACCTGTCTGGCTTATCTACATGTCTTCCCCTGTGACCTCTTTTATCAATACTTCTAATTTGGAAGTCAAATGGTAGCACTTTTTAGTATCCTCTAAGTGTTTGTAGCAACAACCACCCGCTAACATCATCCTTGTAGTTCCAGGTATGTCTTAAAATATGAAGTGAATGAAACTTAAAATGAAGAGTACATAACATGAAGCTCAGCAAAAGAGCCATAGGAATCCTGTTATCTGAGTAAGAACATTCTAAATTGCTAAGGGATCTTGGGAAATATATTAATACTGTTCTTCTTATATAAAACTGCATTTTTAAATATAACCATGCTACACAGGGTAAGAATGATTTTTTAAAAAATGCTGCTTTTGCGGTGAACCTCTAACATGCTATGAAAGATAGTTCCAGCATTAATTTTTAAATATTTCAAAGGTCTTTAAAACCAGGCGACTAAAATTTAATTCTTGAATCTGAGTGCTGTGGTTTCATTTTGAGTAGTTATGAATATCCATAGACCTCACTGAAGCACTGGGAGGTTCAGATGTTATTACTGAGTGGCACTGGTGGAAATTCAAGGGCCTTTACAGATCCAGATCTGCACTGGACTACCTTGCAAAACTTATTACCCTGTAGCATCTGGCAGGTCTGATTAGCTGTTATCAAAGTCCAGAGTTCATTCTCAGTTTTCTGACACATTCGTGCTTTTCAATCCCGCAGTGAAGCTGAACAAATCCATTTAAAGATTAGAGATCAAAAGAGCATACCTGTTAATTACAGAAAAATGAATCAAATGTGTGGTTTTAGCTCCAAAACAGTCTCTGAGCTGAACGTTATGGCTCACACCTTGTTTTCATGTCATATTTCTCCAGTGTGTGATAATTTCATTGGCATTGTTTAAAAGTAAGGAATGAATGTGAGTTATACAGATGATTCCAAAGAAGAGTCAGCCACTAGGGTCCATTATATATTTATGTCTATCAGACAAAAGAAAGAACAATTTAAAGGGTTAACTTGTGCATCCTGTTTCTTGTATGCTACCTCTAAAATTCATGCTGCCACAATGGGTCAGGCAGGCCTTGGAATTACAGAAATATCAAACAAAAAATGTAATTGCCTTATCTTCAGGGAGTTATGAATTTAAAATCTGATACTTTGTGAACCCCTTGGTCTGTGTACAAATGTTAGGCTTCACAAGAAAGCATGGAATCCTGGTTCTTCAAAGGGATAAGATACAGATGTTTCTGTACCGGTGATTCATTGTATAGTAAAATGTCACTGCCTAGAGAACAGCACTGCATACTGAAATTTAATTTCACCTGATTCCCATTTGGAGGGAAAGAAGGAAACATTTTTATGTCACAAAAAAAAAGAAATGGCAGCTGTTTGAAATTTGCTGAGAGGCTTGGAATGTAGTTTTAGCTGAGGTGTATTAGCAGGCAGAAAGCAAGCAGAGAGGTAAAAGGTGCAAAAGAGGTCCGTGATACTGTTCTGAAGTCAGTCGTATGAACACAGCTATCAGGAATGCATTCGAGTGTGATCAAAATTGTGTATACTCACTTGCATGTATTGCGCAGATGAATACATTTGGGAACCAGGGCTTTAGAGGCAATATTCTTATCATTCAAATGCCTCAAGCTGGGTCTGTTAGAATTAAGTTGATTTCACTTAAGTGCCAGAATATGGGTTTCTGTTTTCAAACATACACTCTTCAGTCTGTTTTACTATGCCTGCATTTGTGAATGGAGTTCACAGGCCTGGGATTCAGTACCAAAGTATGCTCCATGGTGAACTAGGAGTTTCAGAAATGTGATTTACAGCAAGGGGAATGTGTATGCCAGACGACAGAAAATACTGAAGAGAAAGATATTTTTGAAAATTTATTTCTCTTCTGGTTTTAAGAGCTTGTGCAAGATGATTTCAGAGCTGGCAACTACCTTTTTGTACTTAGACATCCAGACATCTCTGTTCCTTCATTTAAACAACATCCAGGATAGCCTGTGCATTAAGAGAGAAAGCAAATCCAAACCAAACCAAAAACACACGCAAAAAAAGGCCAACAGGTAGAAAAAATGGATTCAGCACCTTCCTCGGACAGAGGGAATTAAGTTCACATTTCCATTTCCCGGGACTTTCCCCTTGTACAAGCCTAGAAGAGAAACATGAAAAAAGTGAAGTCTCGCCTATTGTAGCTATGACTCAGTGTAGAAAAAGATGTGAGATTTGTAATCTTGACTTAAGCAGAGAGTTAAGCATGGTTTCATAGCTCAAGGATGGAGGCACTTACCTACTGGGGGAAGGAAGAGGGGGAGGCAGCCTGGATTCTGGCCCCTGCTTCAAGCACTGTTTATGTATGTTACTCAATTACAAATGCAAAATGTGTAGGCAGCCCCTGGGGCAAGAACCAGGACTTCCTCTTCAAAAGGAGCATCTATTAGGGTTGCAAATGATCCTCTCTCAATGAATCTTGCTTCCTCTCTAATGCAGAAATATGGCTTCAGCAGGCATGACAGACAGTTTTCCAGCCCGAGCTTCAGCTTAAGTTGGTGGTGCATACACTCTTGGAAGATGTGGGGAAGATCTCCTCAGGAAGAGACTGGCAGTGAACCTGCACCTCCCACTTCAAGAACAAGTAGCTTATCTACAAGTAAGATATTATGTAAAATGTTCGCAGTTGTGCTACCACAACCTCTGGACATGTTTCTGAGAGAAAGTCTCTGAGGCTGTTGTGCTGCATGACGAGGCTGGTGTATGTTAGGCATGCTCAGAAGATGCTTACCTCATGAAGCCTCTCAGGAAATGCTTCACCTGTACATCACAGGTGGGCTTTGACGCAAGGTAGGTTTCAAAATTTTCAGCCATATAGAAATAGCAGTAGCAATGGAAAATGCACTAGCAGGACTTTTAGACAATTTTATCGGCAAAAACCTGATGCAGATTTTTGTGGCCATTTCTTGTATGTGTACATACATAGATACAGCTCCCTGGCATTTTTTGGAATTTTTTTAATTTGGCTGTCAGGGACTTTCTCAAAGTTATTTTGTGAACCAGCAGCAGGACATAAAAGTAGAACCCAGAAATCCTGCTCTGCTATAGTCTCTCTGTAAGACATGTAAATATATTTACAATTAAGAACAGTCTTTTAGTATTGTTGTTTGTTGGAAATGAAGTAGCTGGCACCTATCTAAATTTGAGAAAATTCTCCTCTGGTACTCTCCACATCTATTAAATATCTTGTCTCTCTGTTGTTGTATTACTTCCTTGAGAGGTTTTCCGATAGGTCCTTTTTTCCATCCTGCTGTTCTTCTGGCCCCAGTTCTCTTTTATTCTGGGTTCTGTTCCCTCAGGAGACCAAAATCCTGCTCTCTTTGCTCTTTTCATCATGTACTTCCTGCCAAAGAGACTACTTGTCTAAATGGAGCAACAGGAGAATGAAGGACAGAATTTTTTTTCTGTAATTTTGAATACAATATTATAAATGTACACTTGTAGATTTTATGCATTCATAGATGAATAAATTATATTTGCTTTGGATAACACTAAACAATCCATGACAAATTAGAGTTTACAGTAAAAAACATACAGAAGACTATAGCAGGAACAGTCTTCAGATATGATCTATAGTTAAACAAAAAAGGGTAAGTCAACATCTGCTCTCAGACCTCAGTTCAGCAAAGTACTTAAACCACCATTGAATAAGGTGCTTAAGTACTTTTGAAAGTTTTCTGTAATATGATTGCAATATGATTTCACAAGGGTGTGTAGTGATAGGACAAGGGGGAATGGCTCTAAACTAAAAGAAGGCAGATTTAGAATAGATATTAGGAAGAAATACTTCACCATGAGGGTGGTGGAACACTGGCACAGGTTGCCCAGAGAAGCTGTGGATGCCCCCTCCCTCAAGGCCAAGTTGCTCTGAGCAACCCGGTCTAGTGGAAGGTGTCCCTGCTCATGGCAGGGGGGTTGGAACCAGGTGATCTTTGAAGTCCCTTCCAACCCAAACCATTCTATGATTCTATGATTCTATGATAGAGAAATTTTGATAAGTGAGGCCTTATTTGGAGAAGAGCATAACCCAGGTAACATAAACCAGGATTTTGGTCCCTGCTGTACTTATGGCTGTTACCTTTCCTCAGTTCACTGTGTTAGTATCCACACTTAAGTGTGTCCAGTCTGAATATTGGTTCACCAAAAAGAACTTCAGAATTAACCTTTTTTTGGGGAGAAAATAATTTCCAAGTGATAATGTGCTCTTTGATGGTTTGTTGGATGTTTTCTTTTTTTTTTGTGCTAGTTGTTACAGCATCTTAATTTGGGCAAGTAGGCCATGTTTTGCTTTTTCTGTTGGTCGTCTAAAATGGTGATACAACTGCAACACCAGTAACATGGATCTGAAGCTTAGCAAAAATTCAAATGCGTATTGAAAATCTCCTAGAAATATAGAAGTTAAAGATGTCCAAGAAATGACAGACTTTTTATTCAGAGGATGGAGAGGGAAACAAAAATGCCAAATCTCTTCTCCCCCATCACTGTACGTGAATTTAAAATTAATTAATATCAATGTACTGGAGACATCGCTTTTGTTGGAAAAAAGGGTTTCTTGAATAAATATCAGCTGAAAGCTTTGTTTTTTACCAGCGTGTTTTGCTGGTATGCCATTCGTAAGCCTCCTTCCCCCTAACCACCAGTACGTCTTCTCTGAACCAGAGGGCCAGAACCCTTTAGAACCAAAAACCAAGGACCGCCTCTAGGGAAAATTCCATTTTTTTATTTTTTCACTCATCATTTATTTACAAATACACATTATAACTTTTATATACATTGCACATTTACATGGTAGAAAAGTACAAAACTATATATTTAAATGAATTTATATTTAACTCGCCATGTTTGAAAATATAAAATTGCATCAGAAAAAAAGTATTATGAAAAGCAAGAAACTTGAACTGATAAAGCTTTAATATAACTAGTGACACACTGATTGGGAAAAGGGAACTTTCAAAGTGGTACTGCAAGACCATCTTAAAGGAAACACCTGATAAAACACTGATGCATGTTACAAAAAATATAAAACAATAAAAATAAAATAAAACCTTTATTACAGTTAGCCCTGTAGCTATTAACAACCTTCATAATCCGATTTCTTTGGGTCCAGAATTCATAAAGTACAGTATATACCCTCAGCACTTTGAGATCACTTCAGTACATGATGTGATCAAAAGTAGATAAAAGTGAAGTGGAAGAAGTTTCCTTAAAGATCGCCTCACTGCACCCTGGAAGTATACTTAAGTCAGTTACAATGCCTTTTGGTCAGTCAAGGTTCCTTGTAAACCAAAACCCGAGGGATCTTTTATGTACAGAACCGGCAAGAAGAAAATCCAATAAATAAACATAACAGAAACCGACATGCAAGTTTGTTAAAGTGAAAAAGAGTTAACATCAGTGAAACAAAGAGATGAGATCATGTGGGTAAGCTCTAAGGAATGGACTTTTATAGTTTACAAGAAAAAAGAAAAGCTTTACTTTACAAGCAAGAGACCTCACAATAAATAACACTGCTCTTCCCGTAACGAATAAATTTCTTCAAAAAACAAGGTGTACAGTCAACCAGACATTTTATGTATAAATTATAAAACGTGACACAGTATAAATAAATGTCTACAAGACTCAACTATATGTATACTTTTTTTCTCCCCAAAATAAATAAGCATACACTTATTTACAGTATGGACATTGATTTCCTGCCCAATGGCTGTTCCAATAGTGATGGAGGTTTTACCACTCTAGAATGGAAGATATAGGAAAGCTGTAGTCCTGGTCTTCATCTTCCTCTTCATCCTCTGGGTCTTCATTAATGGCTATATGGGGGAATACAGGGGAGCTGTTGTTTAAATAAGGACAACAACAGCGCAGAAGCAGCTCAGTGCATGTTTTCAAAGCCCTCTGAACAGCCATAATACAGCGTTGCATTTTATGCGACTTGTAGTGAGATGCTCTTTGGCATCTGCTGTTATGCAATAAGGTTTTTTTACACATAATCTATGAAGTCATAACTGCAGAAAGTTCTGAAGAATCAATGGCTCAGGTTTTATTGGCAGATTCCTGAAATCAAATAACAAGCGCTCTTGTGTTCTAGGTTTAACTGCTTTGTGTCCTTCATTCAGAGTTAGTAGAGGCAGCTGTGCTAGACCAGATGCCCATGTGCTACCATTAAGCTTGTTCTTTTGGAGCGAGTTAAGAGTTTATCCGGGTGTTAATAAAAGCAATCAGCGAAGCACATGAGAGCAGACAGAGTAGGAAAAAAACGCTAGAATTACACTCCTAGTGCAACCCATTTCTGACGGAGTAACTTGTCCTCAGAATATCCCCAAAACTCCAACTTCAAGGCCAAGTGGTTGTTGTTGATCTACTGCATTTTATCAGTAACCAAAGTCTGTGCGTGAGAGACAGATAGACAGTTATATGGCACCTGTACCGTACCTTGAATGTCTAAATCAAGCTTTCTTGTTATGTTTAAAGGTGTAGGTCTTCATTACCTAGGGATTGCCTTCAGAAGCTTTAAGTGTCTGCAGAGTTAAAAATCTCACTTACAGTTGCAAGATCCGGAGTGCTTTACTTCTAGAAGCACACCCATGGAGCAGGCTGCCTCTTTCATGGCACACTCGCTTGGGTAAGTTGTGTTGTCGCTGGCACAGACAGCCTCGTCTGACTTGCTCTCAGGGCACAGCTCATCGCAGAGGGAGCAACGACCTCTGCCAACCTTAAAATCCCACAAGCACTTCTTCCCAGCACTGCACTGAATGTCTTCACAGGATTTGGCTTCTAAAAATATACACAGGATACTAGATGTAAGTGAAAAGACAAAGAACAGAGAAAAGCACCAACAAACAACCCCAAACTCCCCTTCGCCTGTGAACTGTGAACAGAGAGAGCTCAGATGCAGTAGATGTGATGATACTTGCTGATTCTGCTCAAGCAAGTAGTCCCTTGGACACCATTGCCTGTCTATTTGTGGGGGAGGAAAGACAGCTGTGCCAGCAGAGCTTGGCCCTGGGAATACAGAATTACATTTGCCTATTGTACAATGACCTCCCTGCTCTGTTTGATGTCAGTGCAAATTCAGCTCCCCAAATTAGCAGTAAGTGCAGAATTTGCCAACACATTCAGCATCACAAAATGTATTATTTTTAAACTAACCCACACAAAGTAGCTGTCTACAAGACTGGAAAGGGAATTCACCTCAACCTGTGCCAACTGAAAGCAGCCTGAGACTGCCTCGAATTCCCCCAGCAGTTTTGGGGAGCAGGGGCTGCCCTGAAGGTGCTTCCTTGTAAGACGCTTCACTATCAGTCCTTTCTGGAAGTCACAATACAAAATGTCAGGATGCACAGAGACTATTTTCCCGATCTTCACCCACTAACTGTCTCCAAACTCTGCAATATTTCTAAAGAGGAAAAAGTGGTCAGCTGTTTCCAATTAAGTCAATGCAAACTTTGCCAAGACCACTTGAAGACAATTGTTTCCAGGAATCCAGATCCACTGAATATCGAGACCTGGTTACACTGTTACTGTGTCATCATCTATTTAATGGCAGGTACTTCTCCACTGGAAACTAATGTCAGCACCCACAGCCACAGCGAGAGAAGAGGGATCAGGGCCCCTACTCTGCTGGGGAAGCCTCTCCTCCTCCCCAGCGCTAGCTACATCCACCCAGTGGCACACACGATGCCCTGAAACAGCGGGTCGAGGAAGCTCCCCCCGCCCTTACCCCTCGGACCAAGATACCTACTGATGCATTTTCCTTCGTAGGCTAGTCCAATGGACCTGCCCAGGAGGCAGGTGGCTTTCCTCAGGTGGCAGGCGCTGGCATAAGTTATGCCGTCATTCCCGCAGAGATACTGCTCAGGGGAGGTGGGCTCTGGGCAAATGCGATTGCATGTCACGCAGTAGGCGTTATTAGTTTGGTCAACGACACACGTGGAGCTGCCCGGGCATAAAACATCCCTGCAGGTCTCTGAAATATAGATGGAAACACACGGTGATTAACAGGACATCCCACGGCCCCAGCGAGGAGTGAATGGGTGACACAATGAAACTAATGATCAGATAAAAGCCTTCAGCAGTTCTGCTCATTTAAGGGCCGCTGGAGGAAACCTTCCCATCTCAGGGTAGCTGGTGGGACCCAAGTGCTGCTAGACTGTGGGGAACTCTCAATCCAGCTACGTCCTTGTCTGTTGAGCATGGTTTAGTTACTGTCTCCCAGCATTTGGAACGTCACTCTGGTTCCTGTGGGGAAACACGTCCCACTGCTTCTCCTCCCTACACTCAGACACACACCCTTTGGCATTTGAGGGAGATCGGATTAGATTTGCAAACCTACTTTTGCATTTGCCCTGATACTGGACTTCAAGTTCGGGCTGTTCTTTACATCTGGCTTTGAGAAGGGCACACTCGTTCCTGTAGGTTTTCCCATCTAAGCCACACACGGGACCCTTCCAAGTGATATTAGAGCAATCCGGAGCACAAACACACCGAGGTTTGTTCTTCTTGTTCATTTTACATTTCTTCCCGGGTCCACAGTCCACGTTCTCGCACGTTTCTGATGGAAGGAAAGAGGCACCACTTTAGTACCGAGCGTGCAGAACAGACCTGGTGTCAAAACTGCTTAAAGGAAAAAAAAAAAAAAAAAAAGACATCGTGACCCCAGAGCACACAGAGAAAACACCTTCTCCCTCCACCCCCCCACCCCCTCCAGGAAACACCACTCGAGGGAAATTCCTCCCCTCAGTGAGGGCGGGGG